AACCTAGATATAAGCTAGTACATAACATAAAACTGCAATGCACAGCGTTCAGTGTACATAATACTATATGAAGCAACGCACACCATTCAGCTGCTTTAAAACAGAGCAAGATTAGATCTGCAGGTCCAATATAAGTAAACATCATCTACATACCTAGTCATGTAACAGAGAAAAAGAATGGAAACAAATTATGCTGGATGTACTAACTTCCACAGCTTGGCCATATATGTATAGACAATTAAGAGTGGCATCCCCAGATAATACATATAGAATAACAAAAATAATTAAAAACAATAACATTTAGAAAGGCAGAACTGATGTAAGAACAATCAACAATAAAAATAATGACACTGGCAATACAGGCAATGACTAAAAAAACAAGTGAACTTACAGCCGCAAGCTCCTTTTGTTCGGGCATCAATATTTGCACCGCGCTCCAATAGTTCATCCATGATTTTCACATGCCCGCCCTGAGCAGCAAGGTGCAGCGGAGTAGCGCCAGGAGACTTTGGTCCCCATGTGGGTGCATTGACATTCATGCCTTCATTCAGGAGACGTCTCACCTAAGGAGAATCAGAAAAAATGACGGTTTTAGATTTTTCACAAGGATGATTAGTAACTAAATAAGATAACAATCTCTAGTTAAAAAGTTGTATGAGATTAATTAGTCACCAAGCCAATGGGTTAAGAATACACAAAACTACATTTTTGCTATACAACAGAATCTGGCCTAAAACATGCATTCATTCTTGCAGATTTGGTTTAAGGTGATCCCATGAATAACAGGCCGCTGAAAAGAATTGATGTGACACAGAATATAACTTAGAATGATTGGTACTTATAACCAGTCCTAGATGAACACATAGAAAATAACATCAGAGACCTGCAAATGAGAATCAGGGTAATCAGCACATCTAACTAGTTACTAGCCTCAGATATATGCTGCAAATCCCAGGACATTTGTCCAAAGCTGGATGCAATTTTTAAACATATACAAGCCCTGAAGAACATAAGAGAGTGTTTCTTTATTTGGCTTAATCAGCTAATTAGGCAGAGCACTTGCCAAACAAACTTTGCTTAAATTGGCTACACAAGGCAACAGCATAGTACAAGAGTTTGGTTGTTTCTTTATTTCGCTTATTAATCAGCTAATTGGGCAGAGCATTTGCCAAACAAACTTTGCTTAAATTGGCTACACAAGGCAACAACATAGTACAAGAGTTTGGTTGTTTCCCCTAATTGGTCACATATACAAGATTTGAAACAATCAGCATATCTAACTAGTTACTAGCCTGACATACATGTTCCAAATTCCAGGACATTTTGGCAGAACTGGATGCAAAGTTTGGACATCAAAGAGTGTTCCTTTATTTGTCTTAATCAGCTAAATTGGGCAGGGCAAATGGCAAACAATCATGTCCACACAAGGTGACAGCATGATAACAGAGTTTTGGTCGTTTCTCCTAATTGGTCAGATGTGTAAAACATATGCGTACTCAAGTTGCAATCTGTTTCAAAGGATGCCAAAGTAGGTACTTATAACTGAACTGGTCAGGGCACATGCCAAACCAAACTTGCTTCAGTATCCACTCAAGGTGACACAACATGGTACCACACTTTTTGGGTGTCTTGTCCCTCCTAATCGGTCACATGTGCAAGTCCTAAAAGGGCGACAAATCCATTCGTGCGCTTGATTGACAGAACATACGCTTGCCTAAACATTCCTAGTTGACCGGTTTTGTGGCAGCAAGAATATTCCATAAGGAGAGGCAGGGAGCAGCATATACCTCCTTGAGGTTGCCCTTGCGGGCGGCGACGTGGAGCTGGCTCCAGCCGCGGTCGTCGGCGTCGTCCGAGTCGCTGCGGGTACGCGCCCGGGTCATGCTGAGCGAGCTGCGGAGCTGCACCATGGCCCCCTTGCCTAATCTCGCAAGCAGATCCAAACGAAGCCGACCAAGCAAGCAGAGAGAGGAGCAATCCAATCCAATCCAATCCAATCAAGAACGAGAAGGGGGGGAGAAGCAAATCGGGTCCGGAGAAAAGCAAATCAGAAATTGAGCAGAGGGGATGAGGGAGGGGGGGAATAGGGATTAGCGGGAGTAGTTGCCCATGCCGAAGGGGGCAAACGGATTGAGGCCAGGGCCGAGCGCGCGGAGGTTCTTGTGGAGCATCGGCGACGAGGAGGAGGAGGAGGAGGAAGACGGCGGTGACGGGCGGCGGCGCACCATAGTATGGCTTCTTTTGGTGGCTGGATCCGGGGACAGATGAGATCAGAGGAAGGTGTCGAAGGAGTTGGGGATCATATCTTCCGTCCGGAAATCAATCAAAAACCACGAATTTGGTCGGAGGCGGGGAAGGCGACGGCGGAGGGGATGGGGATGAGGATGAGCAAACCCTAGAAATCGAAAAAGAATCCAATTTTGGCTTCTGACTACAGCCCCACCGCACCCTCCTGCCTGCATTATATATTTCCGCCAACGCAGCGGCCGGGCCGTTGCTGCGTGGCCCGAGGCCATGCACCAGGTTAAAGGCCCATATCCTTTTTTTTCATGTTTACACAACTAGGCATGTATAATCTTTGGAATTTCTTGAGTCTAACTTTTTTCTTCCCAATCCTTGAAACTTGTAAGGGTGGTTTGATGTGAATCCTCGACATCCAAACCCTGGAATCGGGATAAGAAACTCATAAACGATTCTATCATTAGCATCCCACATACGGATGTATATAGATGCATTATTTTAGAGCGTAGATTCATTCATTTTGCTCCGTATGTAGTTCGTCATGAAATTTTTCCAAAGACTTATATTTAGAAACGGAGGAAGTACATGATACTAGTATATGATACCCTCAATTATGAGTAGCCTAAACATCCAGGCAAACAGCTCGAACAGCGTCCAGACTGAAAAACGCCATTCAATTAGACCCTCTAAAGTCAGCCCAAACATTTGGCCGGCGGATATGGAGATGTCCGAACGTGCCCGCAAGTTGGATCCCATAGCCCGGACTCGAAAGAGCAAACCATAGAAATCCAAATCGAATCCTATCTTACCTCTCTCGGCTTTCCTTCTCTCACATCCCCACTGTAACCTCCTCCCGTATATATTTTCGCTCCTGATGGGCCCTGAAGCACACTACGACTCGTGAGGGGCCAGCCCGAATCGAGACAGGGTGCAAGAGTCGAGTCCGGGTAACCCGCTATAGCCCCACGTGCTTTTTTGGCGTAGTAATACGTGTCTCATTCATATCATAAAAATTAAAATACAAATCACGTAATGATCGATATGACAAAACTGAAAAGATAGCAGAATATTTCTGAGCTTGACAGTTGTTAGGCTCTTTTCCCCCAAAGTGGGGTCTAGCAGGGAGCTCCTAACCTATGCATGATGCTTTGGGGAGGGGAGCAAACGCACAGGTCAATGTGCGCTCTCCCAACGATTCGACTGGCCCATTACTTCATCTACTCGTTTTATCTTGTTCCTTTGCATGACGGCTCATTTGAGAAAGAAGTTGCACAAACTGATGGCTGTTTCTACGCAACGTTTGGAAAAATAAAGAAGGTCGTTCATGAATTCAAAAAGATTCACGAATTTGAAAAATGTTTGGCACACTCAAAAAATTGATGGCGAATTAAAAAATAAATGTTGTTCCGAAAATGTTCAAGAACTGTAACAAAGTTCATGCATTCAAAATATGTTTGTGCTTTTGAAAAATAGTATTGAATTCAATAGCTTGTTCACAAATTCCACAAAACTTTGAAAATTCATAAAAAAGTTTATAAATTCAAAATATATAGGATAATTGATTTTATGAGATTTCAAAAAAAGTTAACAAATTTGAAAAATGCTCATCAATATGAAAAAAAGACTGTCTATTAAAACATAATTTTAAATTTTAAAAAATTGGTAATGAATTGAAAATAGCTTGCAAATTCATAGAGAAATCACGAATGAAATAAAATGGCAACCTAAAAAATGGTTTGCAAAATCAAAATATCTTCATTAATTCAAAAACATTTGCCATTTCCAAAAGGCTCAAGAATTGAAAAAAAGTATTCATGAATTTGAATAATATGGAGTGTAATGAAAAAGGAAAATGATAAAGAAAGAAAGAAAACAAAAAACAGAGAAAACCGACAAAAAAGATTTGAAACAAAACAAAGAAACATAAAAATAAACCAGTTTTGGTGTGGTTTCTGAAACATTCCAAAACAAGGTGGAAAAAATACGGAAACGGTGGAGTTGGTGAAGGAAATATGCCCTAGAGGCAATAATAAAGTTATTATTTTATATTTCCTTATTTCATGATAAATGTTTATTATTCATGCTAGAATTTTATTAACCGGAAACTTCATACATGTGTGGATACATAGACAAAATACCGTGTCCCTGGTAAGCCTCTACTAGACTAGCTCGTTGATCAAAGATGGTTAAGTTTCCTAACCATAGGCATGTGTTGTCATTTGATAAACGAGATCACATCATTAGGAGAATGGTGTGATGGACAAGACCCATTCGTTAGGTTAGCATTATGGTCGTTCAGTTTTATTGATATTGCTTTCTTCATGTCAAATACATATTCCTTCGACTATGAGATTATGCAACTCCAAGATACCGGAGGAATACCTTGTGTGCTATCAAAAGTCACAACTTAACTGGGTGACTATAGAGATGCTCTACAGGTATCTCCGAAGGTGTTTGCTGGGTTGGCATAGATCAACATTAGGATTTGTCACTCCAAGTATCAAAGAGATATCTCTGGGCCCTCTCGGTAATACACATCATAAGAAGCCTTGCAAGCAAAGTGACTACTGAGTTAGTTGCAGGATGATGTATTACGGAACATGTAAAGAGACTTGCCAGAAACGAGATTGAACTAGGTATGAAGATAACGACGATTGAATCTCGGGCAAGTAACATACCGATGACAAAGGGAATAACGTATGTTGTCATAACGGTTCGACCGATAAAGATCTTTGTAGAATATGTGGGAGCCAATATGAGCATCCAGGTTCCATTATTGGTTATTGACCGGAGAGGTGTCTCGGTCATGTCTACATAGTTCTCGAACCCGTAGGGTCCGCACACTTAACGTTCGTTGACGATATAGTATTATATGAGTTCTGTGATTTGGTGACCGAATGTTGTTCGGAGTCCCAGATGAGATCACGAACATGACGAGGAGTATCGAAATGGTCGAGAGGTAAAGATTGATATATAGGACGATAGTATTCGGACACCGGAAGTGTTTCGGGAAGTACCAGGTACTGACCGGGTCACCGGAAGGGGTCCCGGGCACCCCCGGTAAAAGATATGGGCCAAGAAGGGAAACACACCAACCACAAAGGGGCTGGTGCCCCCCCCCCCATATGAACTGGCCTAATTGGAGAAGGAAAGGGGAAGGAAGAAAGGGAAAAGGAAATAAGTTTCCCCCTTCCCCCTCTTCCCTTCCTATTCTGAATAGGAATATGAAAGGGGAAGGTGGCCAAATTGGGAGAGGACCCCAAGTAGGATTCCTCCTACTTGGGGTGCCGCATGGCTGCCACCCTCTCCCTCCAACCTATATATATGTGGGGGCGCCCCTAGAACACACAACATCAATTGTTAGCCGTGTGCGGCGCCCCTCTTGATACGTCTCCAACGTATATATAATTTTTTATTGTTCCATTTTATTATATTATCTGTTTTGGATGTTTTATATGCATTTATATGCTATTTTATATTACTCTTGGGACTAACCTATTAACCTAGAGTCCAGTGCCAGTTCCTATTTTTTCCTTGCTTTTGAGTTTCGCAAAAAAGGAATACCAAACGGAATGAAACCTCCGCGATGATTTTTCTTGGACCAGAAGACAACCAGGAGACTTGGAGATGAAGTCGGAGGAGCCATGAGGCGGCCACAAGGACGGAGGGCGCGCCCAGGGGGGTAGCACGCGCCCCCTACCCTTGTGGGCCCCCCGTGACCCTCCTGACCTAATTCTTTTGCCTATACTTTCCCATATATCACCAAACCACCAGAAGCATCCACGAAAACACTTCTCCACCGCCACAACCTTCTGTACCCATGAGATCCCATCTAGGGACCTTTTCCGGTGCCCTGCCGAAGGGGATTCGATCACGGAGGGCTTATACATCAACTCTATTTTCCTTCTGATGAAGCGTGAGTAGTTTACCACAGACCTACGGGTCCATAGCTAGTAGCTAGATGGCTGCTTCTCTCTCTTTGATTCTCAATACCATGTTCTCCTCGATGTTCTTGGAGATCTATTCGATGTAATACTTTTTTGCGGTGTGTTTGCCGAGAACCGGTGAATTGTGGATTTATGATCAGCTTATCTATGAATAGTATTTGAATCTTCTCTGAATTCTTACATGCATGATTTGATATCTTTGTAGTTCTCTTCGAAGTATCGGTTTGGTTTGGCCAACTAGATTGGTTTCTCTTGCAATAGAAGAAGTGCTTAGCTTTGGGTTCAATCTTGCGGTGTCCTTTCCCAGTGACATTAGGGGCAGCAAGGCACGTATTGTATTGTTTCCATCGAGGATAAAAAGATGGGTTTTGATCATATTTCTTGAGTTAATTACTCTACATCATGTCATCTTACTTAATGTGTTACTCTGTTCTTCATGAACTTAATACTCTAGATGCAGACAGGAGTCGGTCGATGTGTGGAGTAATAGTAGTAGATGCAGAATCGTTTCGGTCTACTTGACATGGACGTGATGCCTATATTCATGATCATTGCCTTAGATATCGTCATAACTTTGCGCTTTTCTATCAATTGCTCAGCAGTTATTTGTTCACCCACCATATTATTTGCTATCTTGAGAGAAGCCTCTAGTGAAACCTATGCCCCCAGGTCTATTTTCCATCATATTAGTTTTCGATCTACTATTTTCCAATCTTTTACTT